TGCCTCCTGGGTCTTGACTTACCGAGGGCTCCGTCACTCAGCCTTTGCTGGTCCCCGCCTGTGTTCCTGATAGGGACGTGTGTCACTGACAATTCAGGATGCCCCTCATCTCAAAACCTTTACATCTCAAAGACCTTCCAGACCCGGAGGGGCGGGCTCTGGGGTGATGGGGAGCATGTCACTTCCAGTGTCTTTCCAGAGAGAGCCGTGGTGCCGCAGGGTGGGGACCTGCTCCAGATCACGCGCGGTCCCCACCTCCATACAGGACCAGGCCTGGCACGATGCTACCTGATCTCCTTCGACATTTTGCTCTCCCATACCCAGTGCCTTCACTGATGAACTTTCATCCCCTTATTAAAGCTGTGTGCCGAGAAATTAGCAACGAGAATGATTAAGTCACAGTGTTTACCCAGAAGACTCCAGAGGCAGAGTGAGGAACAGAGACAAAAGAAATGGTCACGAAAGAGGGGACTGTAAAGAGCTCCGCTGCCTGAGTCGCCCTGACACACAGTGCCACAGTTTAGTGGCTTCTCACGCGTGCTGTACGCCTGTCGGGGTGGCTGGGGCTCTCTCCAGGTCAGTGTTGTCCTCCTGTGGGTTAGAGCTCATGAAGCAGCTACCACCCAGAACATGGCTGGGGATGGGGGCAGAGGGGAGGAAGGTTCTGCAGGACGTGCCATCAGGTGCTTGCTCCTGGAAGGCTCAGCCCAGCCGCAGGGGCCTGGCAGAGTCTGCAGGCCTCACGGAGCAGCCGCTCTGAAGTGAGACTGCCTCCYGCTGACCTGGCGGGAGGCTGAGGAGGAGCCCTCCCGCCTCCTGACCTGGGCTTCGCGCTGTCCTGGGAGCAGGCGCTCTCCTTGGTTGACCTGAGGGCTCCACCCAGGCACAGGGGGCTTCGGTGACGCCAGCTGCACTTCATGCGCTGGGGAGATCTAGAGAGGCAGGCGGCTTGACTGTCGCATTTCTACAGAGAATGACAGCCATTAGGAGAGCCCTTTAGGCTGCTTCTTGACATCCTGGGACAGTCCAAGAGCCACACCATCAGGAGGAGCCGTTTCCCCCCCCCCCCCCCCC